TTTCTCTTCTCACGTCACCCCACGTTAGCAGCTTGACGTGCTTTTGTTCTGTTTAAAGGAAATAAAACTCCCCCTCACCTTTTGACAGAGATGAATGCCTCTCACGCAGCCGCACCTCTGAAATACGGATTTCAGAGGTAAATATCCTCCAAGACTGTTTTGAATATATATATGATTGTTGTTATTGTGTGCTGGATATTTTTGATGTTTGTCTCATGAGGTCTGTACCCTCATGAATAAAATGTGAAAGACCGCTGTTAACCTATATACCTGAGAAAGTATATATATTACTCATGAACCTTATATTCCTCAGATTTAATCCAGTGTCAACCGCAGTTACATCTCAGAGAACCTTGTGTACGTTTAACAAGATTCTCTTAAACTACTTGTCTGTTATATTTTGTTTTTTGAGTATTGTTCAAAACCTATGCTGTTGTAAATAAAACAAAACATATATATATATATATATATATATATATATATCTACAAGAAGTGTTTTATTTTTTAATGGACAACACGTTCATCATAGTTTTTTAAAGAGAATCACATCCCCATGCTCATTGCTCGCATCATCAGGGCAATTGAGAAAGATGCAATTCGGTGGAATTAATTGAACGTCATCATCATCATCAAGAGCAATAAGACCAGGGATGTTCAAAAATAATTAAAAAAAAGAAATAAATGAAATATACAGCACTATATCCACCTATATATATGTATATATATAGCTGATCCTGGCATTTTTGGGGCTTTCATTGAATCAAAGGGCGACATAAAACTGCGAGAAACGGCACAGCAGTTGCAGGAATCGATCACTCTTTTCTTTTCACTTGATGACCCAAAATGTGTACAATGTATACACAGCAGTACAGCAGTTTGTGGAAAATAAAGGGAGCACTTGAATTGAAATGTAGTAAAGATAAATAGTAGTTCCTTTCAGCCAACAGTACGGTAATAGTGTTTGTTTCCTTGTTTATACTGTACTACAATAAATACTGCACCTGATGCTGATTCATGATGCATGTTGCAGAAACAGCGGTGGACGAGACTTGATTCCCCCCACCATTGTCGTCGTCGGATGTCAATAACAACAACAACCGAGTGTAGCCGTTATTTCCTTTTTGATTTGCTGTTGCTGCTCGTGATGATGCTGTTGTTGCTGATTTAGGGGTGCATGTTCCATGCAGACGACGATGAAGACAAGAAATGGACAATTATACCAAGTTGTACTTGAGTGCAGTATTGCACTCTTGTGCCCTCTCGCTCATTTCGGAGGAGCAGGATGAGCAGCAAGAATATGGTGCAAATGCGTTGTGTTCATCATCGTCAGCGTATCACTCTGAATAGTACCATGAATACTCGCGGTTATATTCCGACGAGAATTATACAAAAGGGTAAAACATGGCCTGATTCATGCACTATGTTCCTATGCAGTATTATTGCGTAGACTTGATTCATTATATACTGTACAGGCGACGGAAATCCTGTCTCCCCCCCCCCCCGCCCTGCTAAACTCCTTCAATATTATTACTCTTGGTGCTGCAGTTGACCTACGTCTAGGGCAATAAAGGGAAACATTCTGCCAGCAGCAGCAGCAGCAGCAGAGATGATAATCTTGCAGATATGAATAAGCAAGTGGCCATGTACTGTATTCGACTTTCTGCACGCCGCAAATCTAATGCACATACTGTACTGTACTGTACAGTATACGAGGCAAGCATGCGGAATAATGCATTATTGATTCGAGTCGCCGCAAATGCTGGAGGGGAGGAGAGAACACGAAAAATGCCCCAGTGTGTGTGTTTGTGTGGCACAATAAAGAACGCAGGTCAAATGCGGCGATTCGTCGTCGTCGTCGAGGTCAGCAGCACGGATGATAACATGGCCGACGACGGCAACAAGTGGTGGTGGTAGCGGTGGTCAACGCCAACGCATTTACATACTGATGCCCCATATACCGCCAGCGACACCCCCTCTGTCCTCTCGTCTGCTGTGCTTGAGTTAGTGAAGTCGGGTGAAAATACTGTACCCAATATTTACTACTGCTGTGTTTCTCCAGCTCTCCTTAAATCTCTCTCTCTCTCTCTCTCTCTCTCTCTTTGTGATTCTGATTGTCTCTGCATCATTTCCAAGACGTTGCTGAATTTATAATTAAAAGAGAAGAAGAAGTGATTGTAAGAGAATAAATAGCAAACAAGCAAGCAAGATACATGGCCGAGAATGTGATGGAGGTCATCCTGGAACGCAGACGCCGGTCGTCGACGGCTGCTGATGGCCAACAGCAGCAGCAGCAGCAGCAGCAGGGAATGCTGGCCAGCAGCACGACGACGACGACGACGACGGAGGCTGCTGCTGTTGATGGTCAGCAACACCGCCTCCTGCACAAGACCCGCGTGTGGAAGAGCAAGGACCACATCCAGGTGCCACAGGACCTGCTGTCCCACTCGTCTCCTCCTACTGCTGTTGCTCAACAGGACGAGGAGTCGACGACACGGGATCCCTCCTTCGCCAGCAGCAAGATGAGCAGGTGAGTCGATGATGAGTCATCTACCAACTTACTGCACGTGTATAAAGCTTGTATTTGCATTGTACGTGCCATCAAAAAATATCCTTCAATCATGCAATCACCACTTTCTTCAACTGTTATTTCAACCGATATTTACTAATGACGTCACTAGACTGCAGCCTCTGCACTAATTTAAACGCAGCAATGTTTGAATGCACGGCGGTGTGTATGTATGCTGATTCCACTCATGTAAAAAAAAACAAAAAAAAAGAGGGGGCGGGGGATGACGAGGACCGATAAGTGAATCGCACTCAGCAGCAGCAGAAGCTTATTGCCTGTAATACACGCGTTCTTCTGCCTCATCTGAAACATGTACCCTGATGTACAGTGCTGTATATATTGTACTGTCTACACTCGTAGGCAAATAATGAAGGCGGCCATCAGTCTGGACGGGGCGACTGTTGGTGGTGGTGGTGGCGGTACTGTTCCTACAGCCAGCGAGACGATACGCAAGGCCGCCAAGGCCAGGAGGGCCACTGTGCAGCCCGACCAGCAGCAGCAGCAGCAGTCGTTGGCGACATGCAGCAGTGGTGGTGGTGCTGCTTCTGCTGGCCCCGTGCGGCCACAACGGCAGAGTCTGCCGGCCCATTTCATGACGGCGTCCATCACCAGCACCAGCACGAGCACTGCCAACAACGAAAAGTCAAGTGTTGTTTGGGAACAAGCGACACCTATGAAGGATGCTGACAAGTACGAGCAAATCCCACTCCATCAACTCGACTCGGTGTCTATCACCAATGAGGACGCATCATCATCATCATGATCTCCTCCTCCTCCTTGTCATCATCCTCGGATGCCTGCTGTCGATCATAATGTTATTATTGATGCTCAGCATGATGATGGACATGGGGATGATGATGAAGAAGAAGAAGAAACGCAAACATGGAAAAAAGAGGAAAGAAAGAGATCCCGTATAAGTAACTCATCGTCTGCTGTTGGCTCATCCTCTCATATACACATGATGTATATAGAGTGGTGCACTGTACATTATTCATTTCCGCGTGTGTTGCTTTCTTATTGGGTGCTGTCCGTCATAATCATCCAGCAAATGTCGACTTACAACAACCCCCAATATCACATCATCGAAATCATTCACCGCCATCTCTTCTCCAGCATGCAGTGATGTGATGTGTAATGTGCCAGACATTAATTCTCATTATTTTGGTAACTCGACTCCATTCAAATTCAACTGATATGTCCAGCAGCAGCAGCAGGAGCACGGGATTTTTCTTCTAAGATTTGTGTTTGTCTGCTGCTGATGCTTCCTTTTTCGTCCACACTATGTACAGTGCAACTTCAATTTTTCCCCATGAACGACGAAGCACTGTGTTGTGTGATGGTCACAATGAATTAAAAGAAAAAAAAGTGTGAAGAGAAATATATACATCGAAGCTACTATTCTCGATAGTAAAAAAAAAAAAAAAAAACAGAAAAGGCGTCAGTTCTCATCATCATCAGCACCGAGCACAACAAGAGGGAAGTAGAAGAAAGAAGAAAAAAAAACAGCCTCGACGAGTTGTTGCATCACAGTATAATATGATCGGCCGATTGGTCGTTCCTATGTACTGTACACTGTATGTGTATACATCATGGTTCCGTATTTCACTGTACTCTACTGAACCATGTGTAAGCCGTTGAGGACGACCAAGATGCTCGTAAAAGTCAAGTGCAATATTCCAGTCCCCTCCCCCCCCCCCCCCCACCATTTTTTTTTAAAATAAAAGTAGGTTGAATAAATCAACTACACTTGATGCAGCGAATCGTAATAATGTCTATTCTCCTAAGGAATGAGTCACGCCTTCTATCATCGTTATAATAGTGCACATCAGCATCGGGTGTATTAGTCGTGTACAAAAAGTGAAATATGGCAGGGGAAATGTGTGGGTTATTTCGAGCGACATCTAGGTTTTAGTTTTCGCAAGGAAACCTGGGCATCGCACGCACATCATCATGAGCAAGTGTATTGTACGTATGTATTGTGCCCTCATCGTCCTGTTCGAGCCTTATTTCTCTTTTTTGTTGTTGTATATTTCCGGAATTATGTATATGTGATGTATAATTCCTGTACAGTATACGGTATACATGCAAGCCTAATCACAACACACGCACAAGATACTGATTGCGTATATAAAGCAAGTAAAAATACAGCAGTATCGGATTTCGAAAGCCGACTATAGAATGCTAGAAAAGGAAAAGAATAAGAGGACAGACTTGTTGAACAATTATAATTGGGAATACCGAATATTAGTTTGTGCCAATTATATGTTGTCGTCGTGGGTTCCCTTGGCAGCACGCGTGCTTCCGTTTGTCGGGGTCGGGGTCGGGGTCAATGAAAGAAAGCAGTGCTGCATGCATATATACAGTACGGTATGTGCACCATAGCAGCGCAGCTGGTGAATCGATGCCTCTGCTGATGGTGGGTGGGAATGCAATGTGCTAATGTCCTCATCATGCACAGCACGTGGTGGTCTGTTCTTTCAGCACCATGAATCGGACGAATCAAGCATTATTTTATATATATATATATATATATATATATATATACTGTACAGTACAGTGTACAGTATATGCATTATTAACGATAAAGGAAGCAAGCTCTGCATATATATATATGACTCATCGTGCTTGCGCTGGATCGACATTACAAGGAATATACATGTACTGTATATACTGTACAAGCAAAGGTCTATAATGACCCAGCACGCATTTCCAACTTATGTATATATGGTTCTGCTGCAGCACCACAGCACAGCACAGCACTGTCGGATTTCCCAGGATATACTTGTAATTTCCTGCAAATTAACTGCATGAACACCTCTTTTGTTTTCTTTTTATTTTTCTTGTTNTTATTTTTCTTGTTACTAGTTGAAGCAAAACAAAACAAAACAAAAAAACGAAAGGGAAATGAGGCACCAGCTGCTGTATATGGCAGGGAATCGTGCGTGCGTGTGTGTGTGCTTTGCCAAAAAAAAAAAATTAGGGAAATAACCCCTCCGAGCTTAATACGAGGGAAAGTTAGTTGGGCCACATGCAGCAGCACTTATTGTGGTCAGTCTAGTCAGTGCATATGCATCAGACAGGACATCAGAGTACCCGTCAGCTATAATACGTGTTGTTTTGCACGTATATATATATACAGAGTACTGTACAGGACAGGACAGGACGACAGCAGCAGTGCTGCTGTGGCATCCACTTTAAAAATAAAAATCCTTTTTACTGAATCACGCGAAAATCTTATTTCCGTCTAATCCTTTCCATTTGTACTCTGCTGCACAGTATAAATCCCCCTCTTTATACATTGTACATATCAACCCCATAAATCAGCTAGTGAAAGTTTCGTCAGAGTGACGACGTGTTTTCCTTTCATTCTCGCCAATATTGATTGAAAAAGGAAAAAGAGCGAAAAGTCTAAGTTGTTCTTTCCCCCCCCCTCCTTACAGCATCAATAATAGTATTATTATCTATATACGCGAGTGTTGAAAGTGGCAATAGTGGAAGGAAAAGATGGCATCCAGCAGCAGTAGTTCGAAGAAAGCGTGAGTATACGGTATATTCAATTCTCACCCATATACTGTATACATGTCTCTGTGCTCTCGCAACTTATTCCAGCTATCCCACTATATAAATACACAGCACTGTTGAATAAATACTTGAAGTATGAATACCGTATGTTATACGCAGCAGTGGAGCTTTATTTCTTATCGTCCTCTCTCTCTCTCTCTCTCTCTCGGCCTCGTCGTTTCGTGTGCTACTACATACATACAGCAGCAGTAATATAAGAGCTGGAAAAGTCCACCTGCTGCTGGTGCTACATATGGTGCCGATACCTCGATTGATTGCGCTTTTCCATCACCACCACCACGACATAAATGTCATTAATGTCGAAATGCAAGAAACTTTTTCTGGTCGGCGTCGTGGCAGCACACATCACACACACACACACATGCACTGTGGCTGGGATTGAAAATATGACGCCAGCAGCAACAGCATGCAGTCAGCCAATGCATGCACATGCAAGTGGTAGTTGCAACACAAAACAGCAATGCTGTCCCAAGATACTCTAATACACTGAGTGTAACGAACGTCAAGTGCTGAGTGAGTCAGTTGATGAGCAGTACAGCAGTTCGTGGTATGGGTGGTGATGATGGCCAGCAGAATAACCACATCAGCAGTCTCATCTAGTAATAAGAATAAGAGCAGCAGTCATCGTAGGAACGACAATAATCAGCAGCAAGGCAAACAGCTGTCGAGGCGGGTCATTCTTCAGAGTGACATCGGTGAGCGTTTATAGATGAAAGCATCAATCATGAGCATGCAGGGAACGAGATCGACGTCAATATTATATAGACAGACAGACAGATAGATAGCTCTCTCTCTCTCTTTCATTTATACCGCCGCCGTCGTTAATTTGTTAATATATATAGATCATACATTGCTCATTGATTGAGTGAAATTATTGGATTATGGCGATCGAGGCAGCTAGAAGGGAAAGACAATTTTTCATTGTGTATGCTTGTCAGGGGATGCATCCCACAATTCTTTTTTTTTCTTCTTCTTCTTCAAATCATTCAGCTATGAATGTGCAAATGTTTTTTCCATTCGTCTTTATATATGCATCCCGTTACGTTATTTATTTCCTGTAATGCATAATAAGACAATTACTGTACCAATAAACTGAATGCACATAATGCGATACAGCAGGAGCATTTCAATTGAAAAGTTATTGTGGAATCCCGACCCTGATAATTGCAAACCGCACTTTATTATACATAACACCTGTAATTATAATTCCCTACATTATTTACAACGCTGCTGCTTCCATTTTTGTATTAGCCACAATAATGATGGATGGCGGAGGAAGCATTTTCAGTGCTCTGGCAGTATCAATAAGTCAATGCTTCTCACTACCAGCACTCTTGCTTCACCAAAGGTATTCATATATACAGTACTGTACTCATGGTTTTTACTAATGACTGCTGGTGGAGTGATATTGAGTTGTTATATTTTGGCAATTTGAATTTAATGTGACTGACGAGAGAATACGTTTTTCTTTTTCCTTTAGGAAGAAAAGTCTTGTTCATCCCATGCTGGCTTCTAATTAGAAGGTATAAAGGGTTTCTGGATACACAACTATACAGTATAGTATTCTTACAATTATGATGATGATGTACTGAATCAGCTGTGCTACCTGATGCATGTGAAACATGAGAGACTACAGGATTTAAAGTGCCGTCGCAGATGAGGGAATATATAAGGGTGACTTATTTGAGCTTTTGTTTAACCCACCACCTCATCCTGCTGCTGTTGTTTTCAAATGTCACGCTGTACAAATACAAAAAAAGAATAATAATAAATGCCAGCAGTCGGGGGACGGAAAAGGACGACGGCGATGGCGAAGGCGTCTTCTTCGTCTTCTTCTGTGGCGGAAGTGGTCAAGTGGCGCCGGAGTCGCGGCGAGCCGACGGACTATTCCACGTCCCGAAGGCCATCAAACACGAAGGGAGCAGCAGCAGCAGCAGCAGCAGATGGAGCCACTAGCAGCAATAGCCAAAGGAAGACAAAGAAGAAGATGATGATGATGATGATGAAGCAGGAGGAGGAAATTTCCAGGT